AAAAAAAAAAAAAAGATGACGAAGGAGGAGGAAGAGGAGGAGGAGGAGGAGGAGAAAGGAGGAGGAATTTCGGCTGACACGTGGCACGTGGCACTTCGACTGATAAAGAAAACTAACGAGGAGGAGGAGGAGGAGGAGAAAGGAGGAGGAGAGAAGAAGACAAAGGGAGGAGGAGGAGGAGAAGGAGAAGGATCTGCCGGTTTCTTGATACGTCGATGAAAAAAAAAAGAAAAAGAAAAGGATGACGAAGGAGGAGGAGAAGAGAGAGAGAGAGAGAGAGAGAGAGAGAGAGAGAGAGAGAGAGAGAGAGAGAGAGAGAGAGAGAGAGAGAGAGAGAGAGAGAGAAATAGCTGACACGTGGCACTTCGCGCAACGGTACCGTATCGACGACGACAGGCAGCGGCGGCAGCAGTGACGACGGGCACCTCGGCGATGGCGGGCAGCAACGGGCGTCGACGGCGGGAGCACAACCGCGGCGAAGGCGGGCGTCGACGGCAGGAGTAGGATGGGCGTCGACGGCGGGAGTAGGATGGGCGTCGACGGGGCGGGCAGCAACGGGCGTCGACGGCGGGAGTACTACGTCGGCGCGGCTGCACTTCGACGACACTCCACTGGGCAGCAGCGGGAGCAGCTCGATGCTTCGAATTCGAAGCGGGCGCGCGCCGGAAAAAAATTGCGCGGGGGGGCGGGGAGGCTCCCAAGGCCCAGAAATGTCGAAACTGCGCCTTCCCCCCCCCCCGCGCAAAAATGCGCTGGGCCTGCCCGGCATCGAACCGGGGGACCCAACCGGCCGGGCCGCCCGGGACCCCTGCCGGACGGAGGCTGGGCCGCTGGACGGCCTGGAATTTAACACAGGTTTTTTGAAGTGTTTCCTTCTTTTTCTTTTCCCGTTTCCTTGCACAGGGGCCATGGTAATCGTCTGTGCATCATTCCATCCCGAAGGACCACTGGCCATTTAGTGATTGCTTCCGCCCTATTTTTGTCCTCCTTTGCTTTCTTTTTGTTCATTGGCTGTGAACTGCATCAACTTCCATCAAGTGATTGATTGAAGTTTTGTCATGTTCAATCTGGCTTTCTTTGCTCAGTCTAGCTTGCGCGTGAAAGGGGGGAGAAAATGGGACACACAAAACTCCTTCTGGCCCTCGCAATGAGCCTCCGTTAGGTGTCAACTTTGGTCTCATGATGATCAGTGTGAAGCTTGCATCCACAAAAAAATAGAGAAGGAAAGACTTGCGGGCCGTTGCGGGTACACTCTTTGCAAACAGGAACTCCCAGCTCATTGTGCTCCGAACGTGCCTCTTCTCAGTTATCTAATAAAAGAGTTTGGTGAGAAAAGTTCAAAAAACATTTCCAACCATTCAACCATTGCGTAAAGCACAGATAAATATAGAATGCAAAAAGACCCACAAAGTACCAAAAATTCCATAATACTTAAACCGCCAGCCAGTACATGTGCCTACAGACGACAATGGCTGGCGGCGCCAGCCAAAAAAAGAAAGAATGTGCGCCGCTGGCGGTTCGGAAAAGCTTAGCCCGCAGTAAGGCGCCTCCAGGCCCCCGTGTACTGGTCGTTTAAATAGCGCACCCCCAGAAGCAAATACGCAACATGGTTTAGGCGAATGATGATTGACAGTTGTGACAGCCATTTAATATACTTCACAGGTTCTGCAGGATCGGTGGGGGGGGGCTGAGACCCGGAATCAAATCACACACACACACACACACACACACACACACACACACACACACACACACACACACACAGGGGTATTCCTGACTCCGACAATGTGGCGAGTCCTTATCCATCAGTAAAATGCATCCTGGGCAGAGTGGTGGTGTGAACATGAGTCGGTGAAAGTCTGATGGAAAAGTCTGGCACAGTCATGCGTTTTTTTTTTTTTTTTTTTGCGGAGTTCGAGTATAGCGAACATGGCAACACAACCAAAAAAGAAAATAAAAATAAGAAAAGAAGCAGCTTTAGTTTCTTAACCACTTCAAACTTCAAAGTTCAAACGGTCACCTGCATTGGTATACAGTACTATACACATATAACTTGACAAGTGCACGGAAGGAAGTGTGAGGATACTCGTGATGTAATATTTCGTTCTGACTTGCCGGTGGAATAGGAACCGGACTGATGCTCCCCAAAATGAGTATTCAGCCAGGACCATAAGGACCTGTTAAAACAAATAAAAAAATAAAGAAGAAGAAGAAGAAGAAGAAGAAGAAGAAGAAGAAGAAGAAGAAGAACTGGGACTGTTCCAGCATATAACCAGATTTTCTATATAACTGCGCTAAAGTTGACCACTTGGAGTTACTGCCACCATTTACTGGGGCTTCCATTTGACGCTTATGTCGCGTCTCCTTTTCACCTTCCAGTATCAGGCAGGTGTCAGATTTTTTTATTTTTTTTTTGAAGAACTGCCCGTTTTGTACATCATGTTACCACCACTTGGCAGAGTCCTGTGTTTTTAACAACAGCCTTGCAGCTGCCTCGGCGATGCAAATTCACAGTAGTTCCTTTCGGTTGTGGGAAAAGAATGGAACGGAAGTCGCTTCGCCAACATGAACTGGAAGAAAAAAGGGAAACTGGAGATGAATTCAAACTTGGAGTAGAAAACGTTGGGAGCGCTGGTGAACCAAAAATGCCTCCCAGACGTTCATGTCCCCGTATGACGACGTATCACCCTCCCACCTTCCACCCACCTTACTCTCATATACACGCAGAACCCCCTCTGCAAAATTCTTCCACCTTCCCAGGCAAACCTACTCAACCATCAACCCCCCTCCTTACCATCCATGAATAACTGTTCATGTATATACACAACAGCGGTCCCAGCCCTTCCTAACAAGAAAAACACCCCCTGGCCTACCCAAGCTCTTTAGCGATGGAGTGGCGGCAGTAATACAACCCCAACTACCCTCTATCGAAAAAAAAAGGATCGATAATAGAAGAGAATTCTTCACTATGAGCCCGGCCATCCCATCCCAGTTCCGACAAAAACTGGTTCCCAGATAAGACCATAGGTTAACGAACTTAGGACGAGACATTTTGGCAGCAGATAATTCTGAAACGACATACACTGTTACAGCAATGCCCAGCGAGCATACTGCTTTGCCATCGTGCAGTGTGCAATAACCAGACAAATGCGACATCGTTGATAGGCTGAACGGCGGCTCGCGTGACAACCACCAAAAGTGCCTATGTAGGCTGAACGGCGGCTCACGTGACAACCACCAAAAGTGCCTATGTACTACAGCTCTCTGCTGCGGCCCATACCCTGTCTTACATTCACAACCTCCTCAGAATGCCCATATCTCGGCCCCTGCAAGGTCTAAACCCCAGAGCATTCTTGCAAAACCGCCATTGCAAACCCCCCAACATGGCGTAACTCCCAAGGCACTGTACCTCCACAACAGCTACTACCCCTTCCCCTCCAAATTACCTCTATATTTTGCTTGCGGCCGTCCCAATACAGAATACCTACACAAACCTCCCACCATATACTATTCAAAATTGCTAGTACTCATCCACCAACCTCATTAATGACCTGCAACCTGTTTTTTGGCAGATCACGATACTCGCTTGGTGGTTTCAACCAGTATTCTCTGACCTCTCTCTCTCTCTCTCTCTCTCTCTCTCTCTCTCTCTCTCTCTCTCTCTCTCTCTCTCTCTCTCTCTCTCTCTCTCTCTCTCTCTC